ACTTCACAGCCAATCCTCACGTACTTTCCATATCCACATCTATCTTTAATCAGGGCCATCAAAAAGTCAAAAGTCCTCCCTCAGTCGGATCTTTACATATGATTTAATGGACGGCTAATGATTAGAAAACATCATCAACTATACTATAGTGTCGATACACCTAATAACTTCATTCCTCCTGACCTCTTCAAGTGCTAGCTAGTACTACAATGACATCCTACATCCCCAGGAGGAGAGAAATAACTAGCCATGTTTCACAGCCTCGCCATTGTGCTGAGTCTCCTGGTGAACTCAGTCGCCGGAGATGTTAATTTCACCTATAATGGTTTTCGATCGGCGAATTTGAGCCTCGATGGTCTAGCAGAGGTCACTTCCAATGGACTCTTGAAGCTCACCGATGACACCCTGCGGGAAAAGGGTCACGCTTTCTACTCTTCCCCAGTCAAGCTCAAGAACTCCACAAACGGCACCGCTTTCTCCTTCACGACCACCTTCGTCTTCGCAATACTCCCACAATACCCCACTAGTGGCGGTCATGGAATAGCTTTTGTGATTTCACCAAGCAGAGGCCTCTCGGGTGCTGTGGGGTTGCGATTCCTCGGCCTATTCAACGAGAGCAACAATGGAAAGGACACCAATCATGTTGTTGCTGTGGAACTTGATACCGTAAACAACGTCGATTTGGGGGACATTGATGACAACCATATCGGAATCGATGTTAATGGGTTGAATTCCGAGGTTTCTCATGGGGCTGGGTATTATGTGGACAGCATCGGTCAATTTAGAAACCTGACGCTAATGAGCGGACGGTTGATGCTGGTTTGGGTAGAATACAATGGTCTAGAAAAGAGAATGAATGTCACCTTAGCTCCAATTAATGTTCCTAAACCCAAACTCCCACTTTTGTCTCTGCCCAAGGATCTGTCACCGATCGTTAACGACACAGTATACCTCGGATTCTCAGCGTCAAATGGTGTGACTACATCGTCTCATCATTATATTCTGGGTTGGAGCTTTATGATTAACGGCCAAGCAGAGGAGCTTGCTATTTCCCAGCTACCTAAGCTTCCTCGCAGAGGACCGAAGCAAACATCGAAGTTTTTAACAATTGGATTGCCTCTAATTTCTCTGACTCTGATTGTCGCAACAGGGTCAGGGGTTGTTTACTTCATAAAGAGGAAGAGGAAATTTGCAGATGTAGTTGAAGATTGGGAACTCGAATACGGGCCTCAAAGATTCAAGTACAAGGATCTGTATGTGGCCACAAATGGGTTCAAGGACAAAGAGTTACTGGGCTCCGGTGGGTTTGGTAGGGTTTATAGAGGAACATTACCCATCTCCAAATTGGAGATTGCCGTCAAAAGGGTCTCTCATGAATCAAGACAAGGGATGAAAGAATTCGTGGCGGAAATTGTTAGCATCGGTCGTCTCCGTCACCGGAATTTAGTACAACTCCTGGGGTATTGCCGGAGAAAAGAGGAGTTGCTCTTGGTCTATGCCTATATGCCAAATGGAAGTCTGGACAAGTACCTCCATGGCCAACCGAAGGTCACCCTGAATTGGACGCAGAGGTTTAAGGTCATCAAAGGTGTAGCCTCGGGGCTACTTTATTTGCATGAAGAATGGGAACAAGTTGTGATTCATAGAGATGTAAAGGCCAGCAATGTTCTCTTAGACAGTGAATTGAACGGAAGAATAGGAGATTTCGGGCTGGCGAGATTGTATGATCATGGAACGGATCCACAGACAACACATGTAGTGGGTACTGTGGGGTACCTAGCACCAGAGCACACCCGAACAGGGAAGGCCACAACCAGCACAGATGTGTTTGCTTTTGGTGCATTTTTGCTAGAAGTTGCCTGTGGAAGAAGGCCGATTGAGCC